GGATATACAGAGAGGAGAGACAGAGAGGAAGATCTTCCGTCTGATGATTCACTCCCCAAGTGAGCACAACGGCCAGTGCTGCGCCAATCTGAAGCTCGGAGTCAGGAGCTTCCTCCAGGTCTGCCTACACAGGTACAGAGTCCCAAGGCTTTGGGCCGTCCTCGACTGCTTTCCCAGGCCACAGGCAGGGAGCTGGATGGGAAACAGGGCCTCCGGGATTAGCACCAGCACTCATATGGGATCCTGGCACATTCAAGGTGAGGACTTTAAGTGCTACACTATCGTGCCAGGCCCTGATTTGTTTTTCTTAAAGATTTGACTTAGAGAAAGAGGAGACAGAAAGAGAGTTTCCACCCACTAAGTCACTCCCCAACTGGCTATCACAGCTGTGGCTGAGCCAAGCCGAAGCCAGGAGCCAGGAGCCAGGAGCTTCTGGTCTTCTACAAGGGTGCAGGGACCCAAACACATGGAGCATCCTTCGCTGCACATCTCCCAGGCGCATTAGCAGGGAGCTGGACGGGAAGTGGAGCAGCTGGGACTCAAACTGGTGCCCACAGGAGATGTCAGCATGGCAGGTGCCATGCCACAACGCTGGCCGCATGGAAGATGTTTTAAGGAAATATTTTCATAAGTCTGGGGAAAGCCAGTTTTTGTTCTTTTTTATTTTCTTTTCTTATGGAATCTGCATTGTGGTATATAGCAGGTTGTCATCCGCTGTGGGCATTGCTTCCTGTCTTAGCTGCTCCACTTCTGATTCAGCTCCTTGTTAAAACACCGGAGAAAGCAACAGAACACAGCCCCATGTGCTTAGACCCCTGTCACCCACATGGGCGACCCAGATGGAGTGCCAGGCTCCTGGCTTTGGCCTCACCCAGTCCCACTGGTGTGGCCATTTAGGGGGTGTGATGGGAGATCTCTCTCAATCTCTCTCTCTCTCAATCTCTCTCTCTCTCTCAATCTCTCTCTCTCTCTCCTGGAGCTGGGGCTGAGCCAGGCAGAAGTCAGCAGCCAGGAACTTCATCTGGGTCTCCTTCATGCGAGGAGGTTATCTTTGTTGCATTCCTAGCTACTGTTAGCAGGGAGCTGGATGGAAAATGGAGCAGTCAGGGCAGGCGTTAGTGGTCATGTTGGATGCTGGCATCATAGAGGCTTAACTCACAGTGCCACACATGGGCCACAAGAAGACCGGTTTAACTAGATCCCTGGGGAAGGCCTCTCGGAGACAGAGACCATGCAGGAAGCTGTCGCTGCCTCAGTGCTGGGCTCCCCAGCCTCCCTGCGAAGGGCACTGGTAGTGAGGGAGGCCTTTGCATGGAGAGGTGTCCTGGGGGCATTCCTTAGAAGAAAGACAAGCATCACTGACACAGTCCCTTCCTGTCCCCCGGCTTCCCCTGTGGCCACAAGGACAGGAAGGACACCCAGGGCTGCAGGGCCTGAACCCAAGCCTGCAGCCGCCATCTGCATGCCTGCCGTGGGAGAGGGGCAAGGCCCCCATGGGTGTGGCCTTTCTCTCCCTTTCAGCTCAGACCATCCCTGTGAACTGACCATTCCGTGAATAGATGTGGGGGCGTCAGGCAGAGGGCAAAGGCGCTGAAACGGGATCTCCCTGGGCATGCTGCCACGGCCAGCCAGGAGCCACTGGGAAGATCTACGCCCCTGGAGAACTATTTGGGTTTAAGTTCATGCGACACAACAGAAGGGTTTTAGGCATCCATTAGATTCTGTGACATAATTTTTTTTAAAAGATTTATTTATTTTATTGGAAAGTCAGATATACAGAAAGGAGGAGAGACAGAGAGGAAGATCCATTCAGTGATTCACTCCCCAATTGATCACAATGGCCAAAGCTAAGCCAATCTGAAGCCAGAAGCCAGGAGCTTCTTCCGATACTCTGTCACGGATGCAGGGTCTCAAGGCTTTGGGCTGCCTCCATTTCTTCACCAGACCACAAACAGGGAGCTGGATGGGAAGTGTAGCAATCAGGATATGAACCGGCACCAATATTCAATCCCAGCAGCCGCAAAGCAGGGATTAAGCCACTAGCTACTTTGCTGGGCTCTGTTTATTTATTTTTATTGGAAAGGCAGATCAGACTTAAGGTGAGAAGGCATGACGAGGCTATATCTGCTTGTTCATTCCCCAGACGGCTGCCATGGCCGGAGGTGAGCCCTTCTGAAGCCAGGAGTCAAGAGCTTCTTCGGGGTCTCCCATGCCGCTTTGGGTCATTGTCTGCTGCTCGGGCCAGTGAGGTCAAAAGCCAGGAGCCTGGTACTCAGGCGGGCAAACACAGTGTGCTCTCCCCTGCCTTCTGACGCGCCTCCCTCCATAACAGGAGTGACTGCCATCAGTCACACACATGTACGTTCTCACACACTCACGGAGCACTTGCTGTTTATCACACACGTGTAGCTGGGAGCCGGGACTTGGAGAGTGAACACATCAGAGTCTGTGCGAAGCTCAGTCAAGTGAGTGAGGAATTCCGATTGGCACGGTCACAGGGGCAAGGGCAGCTCTCCATGCCACACCTCGCTGCCCGATGTGCCTGCCTTCCTGCTGTAGCCTCAGGGCTGGGCACAGCGCCCCACAGAGTACAAGCACAGCGCCATGCGTCAGACCCACCCTCCACCAAGGGAGACTTTGAATGGATTTCATTTTCATCTTTGGAAAATATTTATGCATTTGAGGGGGCCGGTGGCAGGAGCCTGGAACGCCATCTGGGTCTTCCACGTGGGTGACAAGGGGCCAGGCCTGTGAACACTGGCTGCCTCGCAGGGTGCGCATCAGAGTCAGGCTGGGCTGGAGGCAGAGGCGGGCAGAGAAGTCCCGAGCACAGGATGCAGGCGCCACAAGCGGCAACTTAGCCACAGGGCTAAACACCCACTGCAAGTGTATTTTTATTTATTTTCATCTACCAGAACAGTTGCATCACCCCCACACACACACACTCACATACACACACGCATCTTCCATTCAGTGGTTCACTCCCTGGTGCCCTCAACCGTCAGGACTGAGCCAGGCTGAAGCCAGAAGCCAGGAGCTGCACCAGGGTCTCTCATGTGGGTGGCAGGGACCGACATACTTAGGCCATCCTGTGCTGAATCCCAGGTGCATTAGCAGGAAACGAGATCAGAACTAGAGCAGGGTCCAACGGGATAGCCTAGGGGCTAAATATTTGCCTTGCATCTGTCAGGATCCCATATGAGTGCCAGTTCATTTCTCAGCTGTTCCACTTGCTATCCAACTCCCTGCTTGTGGCTTGGAAAAGCAGTGGAGGATGGCCCAAAGCCTTGGGACCTGCACCCACGTGGGAGACTCAGAAGAAGCTCCTGGCTCCTGGTTTCGAATAGGTTCAGCTCCAGCTGTTACAGCCATTTGGAGAGTGAACCATCTGAAGGAGGAACTTCCTCTCTGTCTCTCCTCCTCTCTGTATATCTGCCTTTCTAATAAAAATAAATAAATCGTTAAAAAAAAAAAAAAAAGGTAGAGCAGCTGGGTTCTGAACCAGGCACTCTGAAATGGGATATGGACATTGTAAGCAGTAGCATAACTTGCTGCCCCACATATTTCTAAAACAAACTCCTGGGCCTGGCATGGTGGCCTAGCAACTAAAAGTTCTCACCTTGAAAGCGCTGGGATCCCTTATGGGCGCCGGTTCTAATCCTGGCAGCTCCACTTCCCATCTAGCTCCCTGCTTGTGGCCTGGGAAAGCAATTGAGGACAGCCCAAGACCTTTGGACCCTGCACCCACATGGGAGACCTGGAGGAGGTTCCTGGCTCCTGGCTTTGAATCGGCACAGCACTGGCTGTTGCGGTCACTTGGGGATCTTCCTCTCTGTCTCTCCTTCTCTCTGTATATCTGACTTTGCAATAAAAATAAAATAAATCTTAAAAAATAAAAAGACCTGCATATCTTGCTTCCACCCTGTTGCGGTCACTTGGGGATCTTCCTCTCTGTCTCTCCTTCTCTCTGTATATCTGACTTTGCAATAAAAATAAAATAAATCTTAAAAAATAAAAAGACCTGCATATCTTGCTTCCACCAGGAGACACTTCAGTCATGCAGCCGGGTCCCTCTGACCCCAACCCCCGCCCCACCACTGTCCAATCACACAGCTGGGCATCTGGAAACTGCCACTCCCGCCCGCCCTCTCCCTGCACCCACTATGTCACCGCTCCAGGCTCGAGGCTCCAGGAAGAGCTCCGAAGAGCATCCCCTGTGACACTTGGTGGTTCAGAGTCCCAGGAAATGTTTGTTTTTGGCAGAAGGTTTTGCCTGGAGTTTCTGAACACAGGTATGTTGTTGGTGCCACCACAGCCAAGTGTGATTCTAGAAGCACTTAACTCCTCGAGTTCCTACCCCGTGGCTTCCGGGGCGTCGTTCTAGCAGTTCCCGACACACCCTGCTCTACTGCCCTTTCACAGGTGACAGTGCCTGAGAGCCAGGCAGAGACAGGAAATAAAACACAATCCCTACTCATTTATTGCTTCCGTTGCCATGGGGATGTCCACAGATGACACACTCAGCCTGCAGAGTGAGCGGGCTCCCTCCCAGTCCCAGTGAGAGGTTCTTCCTTCAGGGGAGCCAGTGCACCGTGAAGGCCGGAGACTAGCACAGACATGACAGCCCATCTCGGCCTCTCAGGCCCGTGCCCTTGCCTCCTGGCTTGGAGTCCAACCACAGGCACTTTGTTCCTAAAGTTCTCCACGAACAGAATCTACAATCTCCAGAAGTTCCCCAAGAAGTTCCTACTTTGCAAATTGCATGACCCTCAGTGAGTTGGTCCTCCATGCCTGGTCGTCTCCTCTCTGGATGTCCTCCCAGCCCAGTTACTCTTACCACCGCTTCCAGGGACCACGGAGAGCAGGCCTGGGGCGTGGCCTCCCTCTTTCTGCTCTTTTCAGAGCCCCACCCCACTTCTTGGTACCCCTGCTGGCCCCCCACCCCCAGCAGGAGGTCAACCAATGAAAAGCAAGCCAGTCATGGTCACGGTCGTGGCGTTGGTCCTCATCCTTCCCAGTGAGATAAAGCAGAGAGAGGGAGCAGGGAGGGCTGTTTTTAATGAGGATTTTTAAAAGCCTCTCTCAGACAGCAGACAGAGCCCGAGGCAGCTCGGGAACCCGGGTGCGGGCAACAGGCCTGCTGCCTCCGACGACCCTGCAGGACAGAAAGAGCCCTGCTCAGACAGGGTGGCCTCCTCCCGCCCACACAGTGAAATCCCACCATCACAATGGCTTCAGGAACCATCCCACCACTTGGGGAATAACAAGGTTGGGTAGCCCAGACGGCCCAGGCTGGCTTGAAGGTGAGGAGTGTGTGATTTCATCCTGTTGCTGCCCCCTAGGCCTCTCTCTGGCCCCCGATTCCCCAAAACAGTGTCCAAATGTGCATGGAGCTTCCCCTTAGCTCCCACGTTTGCTGGCTTTCCCACCCTGGGCCCTACAGCAGAAAGAAGCCTCGGCCTGTAAGTGAGGCTGACACCCACCCAGAGGCTGGATCCCGGCTGCTCTCTCCTGACAGCCGAGCATCGTGATTCTGCTAATTAAGCCGCTTTCTTGTCTTTAATTAGCTGCCTGTGAATCTTGTTGGGAAGTCTTGGATCCGTGAAATAATCTGGGATAAAAATCAAAAGGAAGACATCAGTTATGCTGGGGGAGGGGGTGGCGGGGGAGGGAGGGAAGGACTGGGAGGGAGCCCGCTCACTCTGCCACAAAGCTCGGGCGGGCCGCTTGCAGTGGCCCTAGCAGTGTCGCTGGAGGTTCCAGTGTGAGATGCTAACAGCAAACTGTTGTGGCAAATCCCTGTGGCCGATGGCCCAGCCAGCAGTCCCGAGCCTGCCAGGGAGGGCTCACAGGGCTGGCACCCGTGGCCTGCACGCTGTGCTGTCCCCCACCACCACCACACTTGAGGCACAGGCCGATGCTTGCTGACACGTGGGGAGCCGCCGTCACGGCGGGCAGCTCTGGGAGTCTCTGGGCCCAAATGCATGCCAAGTGTTATTCTTGTCTCCTCTGGGCCTGCCAGCTCCTGTCTGGGAGCCATCCCACTTTCTCTGAGAGCATCCTCTCCGCGGAGAGCTGGGTGATGACGGAGGAGGGGTGTTGTACACGCTGCCCCCTTCCCCACACTGTACATCAGACACGTGCTGAGGTGCAGACAGACACGGCAGTGGGCCCCGCCCGGATGTTTCCTCTAAATACCATTGACCTTCAGCCAGCTCGGGCAGTCCATTAGAATTACCTGGGGAGCCTTTAAAACTGTGGATGCCGGGCCTCGCCCCCGACTAATTAAATCAAAACCTCCTGGGGTGGCGTCTGGACACCAGCATTTCTTAAAAGCTCCCAGGTGCCGCTGGTGTGCAGCCAGGGTAGGGCAAGAAGGGCAGCCAGGGTGGGGCCAGAAGGGCAGCCAGGGTGGGGCAAGAAGGGCAGCCAGGGTGGGGCAAGAAGGGCAGCCAGGAGGGCCTCCCTCTGGGACTCAGAATCCCCCCCTCCCTTGCCAGGAGGAAGCCCCACCCCAGGCCCTGTCCACCTGCCCACCCCCCCAGCATGTGCCAGGGAGTGGAGACACCTCTGGAGAAGGTCACCCGAGGAAGGAGCACCGCCGAGACTGGGGGCTCCCCTGGGGTGGGGGGATAGCTCCGGATTTGCCTGAATCAGGATTCTCAGTATTTCTTCCAGCTTTCTGCCACCCAGAACAGACACCACTTTTCTCACCTGCAGCAAATTCCCGGATGTTCTCTGGTCTCTTCAAGAACAGTTCTCTGGAAAAACATACAGGGGTGGGGTGGGTGGGGTAGGAGGGAGAGCAGGTATTCAGCCACCTCGGGAGTGAACCCAGCAGCCCACTCCTGCTGGCCAAGGCCCTCTCACTCCAGCTCAAGAACTGGAGGCAAGGAGTGCAACGCCCTGCATGGCCACCGACTCAGAGTGCGTGGCCGAGTTCCCATGGAGCTCGCAGGTAGAGGGACAGATCCACAACCTGTGATGTCCTGAGAAAATGGAGGCATGCATTCCCAGTTAGGGCAGCAGGATGACCACAATCAACAGCTGCAAAGATGGCTTCAGAGGGTCACTGGCCCTGCAGACCCTGGGACAGACACCACGCTGGCCCTCTGTGGCTTATAAAGCACGCCCGCAGCGTTGTCTGTGCAATGCATCCGTTTCACAGATGCAGAAGGCAGACTCTTGATGGGCAATCATGTACCCAGGTTCATAAAGACAGTAAGTAGAGAGAGCCGGCCTTTTAATTCCTAAGGCAGCGCGTGCCCTTGGCTGTGGGCTGCCCCATCCTGCCAGCCCCACTTCCACGTCCTCTGGGCTGAGGCCACCCCAGCCCAGGAAGCTCCCCTCTCCAGCTTTAAGACTCTTGTTCTCCTTCCGTGATAAATAACTGTATCCAATATGAGGCATTGGGGTTGCTTTTTCTTTTAAAGATAAACTGGGCTGACCTCCAAGCAGTGACGTCAAGGGGGAGAGCACATGTAAGTTCCTAAATGTTTCAAAAGGCCGAGGAAGCTCCAGCGAGCACTGAGAGGGAGGCTACGGGCCCTGCACAGCTGATCCCATACAACGGCAGGTGGGAGAGAGGGACAGCAGAGGCACAGGGGGCCGTCGGGACCAAGCTGGGAGCATCTTCTGTCTCCAGATGGGACTTTCTCTGAGCAGAGATGCCAGTTCGCCTCCACTCTCCTACCCACAGCATCCACAAGAGCACTCAAGGAATGGCTGGGCTCCCAGATGGCAGTGGGAGAATCCGAGACGTTCAGTTTGGTAGGAGTCAGGGGTCTGCACAGCAAGGAGTGGGGTCAGGGGTCAAGCGGTGGGAAAATGCCAAGGCAGCTATGTGAGGCGGGCCTGGAATGCCAGGGATCACAGACTTGTCCTAAACTGGAAACAAAACAGTGGGAGTGCTGTGGCGGTACATGGGTTAGTCATCTGCCTGCTGAGTCGGCATCTCATGGGCACAGGTTTGTGTCCCAGCTGCTCCACTTCCCATCCAGCTCCCTGCTTGTGGCCTGGGAAAGCAGTAGAGGATGGCCTGAAGCCTTGGGACCCTGCACTTGCATGCAAGACCCAGAAGAAGCTCCAGGCTGCTGGCTTCAGATCACCTCAGCTCTGGCCATTGTGGCCATTTGGGGAAGTGAACCAGTGGATGAAAGATCTCTTGATTTCTCCTCCCTCTCCGTAAAGTCAGCTTTTCCATTAAAAATAAATCTTAAAAAAAAGGACAACAGCAGGCAAGTAGTGCATGAGTATACTACAGTTGCACAATGGGACACTACACAGAGGTGAGGGTGCCCGATGCTGCCGAGAGGAAGCCAAGCCCAGAAGAGCACAATTAGGCAAAAGGCAAGCCAGGCTGCGCTCCGAGGGGTCAGGACACCTTCCAGTCCTGGGGTGGGGGGATAACTGGAAGGGACTCCCACAGGCGGCTAGGGGCAGTCAGGCCTGGGAGTTCTCCCAGCTTAGGATATCTCACTTCTCTGCAAATTACATTTCCTGAGATGCTAAGAGCCAAGCAGGACCGCGGGTGCTCTGGAGGCGCCCGAGGCTCTCCCAGCCTGGGGCTGACATGCTCAGGGCTGGATGTGGGCAAGATCCACCTGCCTGGGAATCCACGAAGACACCCAGCAAGGCCTTCCTACAGGTTCACACAGCTCTCCTCTCTACACCCCCAAACGTTTCTGGGTGCCGAACATGAGTGACACTGCTGCTGTTCCCTCTGCAGATTCACAGTGTTAGGGGTTCTGTACACTGGTGTCTTGATGGGTGCAGCCTGGAGAGCCGTGGCCAAACAGTCACAAAATACCAGGATCCAGGAACGCAGGTGGGAAATTCACTTCACTAACTAGCATAGCTGGGAGTTTCTCTGGGCTTCCTGTAAGCCGGGGCCAGGGGGTGGGGGCAGAGCCCTGCGTAGAAATCTACCCACACTATGAGCCCACTGGAATCTATGAGCTCAGTTCAAGTCCCACCTGCTCCACTTCCCATCCAGCTCCCTGCTGATGCACTGGCAAAGCAGCAGCGGATGGTCCAAGTGCTTGGGCCTTGACACCCACGTGAGGGACCTGATGAAGTTCCAGGCTCCTGGCTTCGGCCTGTCCCAGCCCCGACCTTGTGGTCATCTGGGGAGTCAATGAGTGGAAGATCTCTTTCTCTGCCTGTCTCTGTACTTTTGCCTTTCAAATAAAGAAGTAAATCTGAAGAAAATGACAGCACAGACACGTGGTCAGGACTCTGTCTTCTTGGCCACCTTCCGCCTTTGTCACAGGAAGAATCATGTGAGGTATCCCCGGCAGGTGAGTGGCGGATTCTAGCTCCTTCTGGAATCAGGCAAACAAAACATCACTATCACCAACCCCCTATCCTACAAACCTACCTGTCCCCAGCCAACCCCCTCCCCAAAAAGGAAAGGCCTAAAGGGGTAAGGGGTTCCCTGGAGGGTAGGTTCAGGGACACCACAAAGAAAAGCAGGGAGACCTGGCTGGTGCTGGGGGAAGGGAAGGGATGGGCGGGAGGAAGGAGATGTAGGGTCAGGGAAGTCACCTCTTTCTCCTGCAAACAGCCTGGCCACACAGAAAGACAGGGCCACCCCTCACATGGCAGCAGAACACCACCTCATGCGCCATCCCCCAGTGCTCCCATCCTGCTGTTGGTGAGCAATGCGAACGAGGATTTAATTCAGGCTTTTAACATCCCTCCTCCATTTCTCTGTTGGAACTGCTGCAATGCCCCAGAATAGGAACACAGTCATTCTTTTTCCTGCAGAATAAAAACTCCAAAACCATGTAGGCACACCTGATCCCTAGGTCGGGAACTGACAGACCACCCCTACACTGTTTTTAAAAGATTTATTTCTATTGGAAAGGCAGATTTACAAAGAGAAGGAGACAAAGATCTTCCATCTGCTGGTTCATTCCCCCAAACAGCCGCAATGTCCTGAGCTGAGACAATCCGAAGCCAGGAGCATCTTCCGGATCTCCCATGTGGGTGCAGGGTCCCAAGGCTTTGGGCCGTCCTCAACTGCTTTCCCAAGCCACAAGCAGGGAGCTGGATGGGAAGTGGAGCATCCGGGATATGAACTGATGCTCATATGGGATTCTATTGCTAGCAAGGTGAGTATTTAGCCATTGAGCCATTGTGTCTAAACTACCTCCTGCTCAGGCCTCACCTTCAGCTTTCCAGGGGAACAGCCTTCCCGGTTTCCTTCTCCCATCTGTCCTCGGAGAGTTGCTGCCACTTGGAAGGCTGACCAGAACAGGAATAGTGAGACTCGGGATGGGGCAGGGAATGTGCCTCTCCCCAGGCTGACTTCAGAGAGCCCCGCCTTTGGCTGGGAGCCCCGGCAGACTGGGGAGCCCTGGGTTTGATTTTCAGTTCAGCGGCCTGAGAGAGGCACCTCCGCTCTCTGAGCTGAACTTTTCTCATCTGCCATAGGGAAATGACACGAGCCGCCTTGTGTCTAGTTGTGTCTGTCTCGCTAGCACTCCGACTCTTGGCCTCCCCAGTACCTGCTTGCTCTCTGGCTTCCCACGGACAGACTCTGAGGACAGGTAGCTCTGATCATGGTCCCTGCGTGTCTGTATTCCTCACCATCTGTTCACTGCTTAGGCGGGACAGTGAAGACAGCAGTGCTAAGATGCTTTGTATTTCTGGTTTGTGTGCTGTCAGGAGTTCCAGGAGAGGTGAGGCCTAGCAGTAGTGGAATGTGGGCAGCGAAGCCAGGGAAAGGTGAATTCTGCAGCTTTGTGAGTGTGTCCAGGTTATTTGTTGCATGTCTCTTAGGATAATTTATATTGTTGGGGAAGCTGGGACACAGGTCTTCAGCTTAATGGATGGACTTCAGGGTAATGACCATTTGTTTCTCTTGGGGTTATGATTGACTGGATTGCCATATGGACTTGTGATTTGCTATTTCTAGTGCTATTTCCTGTTATCACCAAGCTTGGTTTACATGGCAGGATACTATATGGATGTCAGTTCTAATCCCATCTGCCCTGCTTCCCAACCAGGTCCCTGTCTGTGGCCTGGGAAAGCAGTCAAGGGCAGCCCAAAGCCTTGGGACCCTGTACCCATGTGGGTGACCCAGAAGAACTCCTGGCTCCTGGCTTCAGATTGGCTCAGCTCCAGCCATTGCAGTCATTTGGAGAGTGAACCACCGGACAGAAGATCCTCCTCTCTGTCTCTCCTCCTCTCTATATATCTGACTTTCCAATATAAATAAATAAATAAATAAATAAAGACTCCTTAATAAACCTTAGACATGTCCGGTGTGATCTCAGTCATATCCTGCAACAAAGCAAAGGTCTGGCTCGAAAGTCTGGCTTTGGGCAGGAAAGAGTTTGTTATAGGACACACTGGAAACTGGCCTTTTTACAAAACAACAACAAGGGAGTATCTTCCAACACTTGAGACTTTCCTACAGTAAGGTTCTCAGAGAGGGAAGGGAGTCTCAGACGTGTGTGACGGAGGAAGCTTCTCGGGTGATTATGAAAAGCTCGCCCCAGCTACGGACAGCGTCCTGCACGCCAACTCTGCTTGGGCTTCCCAAGGCTAAATCTTCCCCAGTTAAAGGGAATAACATGCATATTCTTTCTCCTTTTTAGGATTTATTTATTTTTATCAAGAAGTTAGATATACAGAGAGGAGGAGAGACAGGGAGGAAGATCTTTCATCTGATGATCTGCTCCCCAAGTGACCATAACAGCCGGTGTTGTGCTGATCCGAAGCCAGGAATTTCTTCCAGGTCTCCCACACAGGTACAGGGTCCCAAGGCTTTGGGCCGTCTTCTACTACTTTCCCAGGCCACAAGCAAGGAGCTGGATGGGAAGTGGGGCTGCCAAGATTAGAATCGGTGCCCATATGGCATCCTGGCATGTTCAAGGCGAGGACTTTAGCTGCTAGGCCACTGTACCGGGCCCATGCATATTCTTAAGAATGCAGAGGGGCAGGGCTGACACAATGGCTCACCTTCACTAGCCTGGATCCCATGTGGACGCCGGTTCTAATCCCGGATGCTCCACTTCCCATCCAGCTCCCTGCTTGTGGCCTGGGAAAGCAGTAGAGGACGGCCCAAAGCCTTGGGATCCTGCACCCACATGGGAGACCTGGAAGAAGCTTCTGGCTGCTGGCCATTACAGCCACTTGGGGTGTGAACCAGTGGATGGAAGATCTTTCTTCTGTCTTTCCTTCTCTTCGTAAATCTGCCTTTCCAATAAAAATAAATATTTAACAAAAAAAATGTTGAGGGGCCAGCCTCAGAGTATAATAGGATAAGCCTCTACCCTCAGCGCCAGCGTTCCATATGGGTGTCAATTCAGGTCCAGCTGCTCCATTTCCAATCCAGTTCCCTGTTTAGGACCTGGAAAAGCTTCAGAGGAGGACCAGAGTCCGTAGGCCTCTGTATCCACATGGGAGGCCCAGAAGAAGCTCCTGGCTTCGATCAGCCCAACACCAGCTAAGCAGTCACCGGGGGAGTGAATCAGTGAACAGGCGATCTCTCTCTCTCTCTCTCTCTAGCTGCCTTCTCTCTGTAAATCTGCCTTTTAAAAAGGAGAAGAAGAATGCAGAGATACCTGAGGGAAATCCTAGGTGCCATAAATCTCAGAGTTTGAAGAAATTTCACCTCAGGATGTTTTTTAACTTTAAGCAATGTTAGGGAGTGTTTAAAGAAATACACAGGGCTGGGCATTTCAGCTAGCAGTCCAGCTGACAGACCCCACGTCCCATATGGGAATGAGAATCGAGCTCCTTACTCCAGTGACCTGCTCCTACAGACCCAGGGACTAGTCATAATGGTCCCAGGAATCAGGTTCACACCCCCCAAATGGGAGACCCAGTATGCCTTCCTGGCTGCTTGCTGCCCGGCCCAGTTCCCAGCCCTGGCCGGCACCTGAAGAGTGGGAGCTCCATCTAGCCCCCTCTGATTCACATTTGAAAAGGACAAAAACAAAGGGGAGCTTTCGGATTCATGGAACTCCAAGGAGATTTGTTCCAGTTTCTCCCCGGCCACCCAACGCTGGGATAGGCAACCACCTACCTTAAGAAACCACTGATGAGAAACCCCACTTCTTTGTGGGCCCTTAGATACTTCTCATTGGCAATCCGAGTCTGAATCTAGGCGTACAAGAGCAAAGGGTTCTGTTGCAGGAGACACCCAGTTCCCAACCCTGGAGGTGCCCAGCGCGTACCCTCCGCATGCTTGCAAGTGGAAGCTCGGTGTGAGCGAGTCAGCGCTTGCTGCCCTCCAGCTACGCTCAGGTGTCCTTACCTGGGGTCGGCGGCTGACCCGAGTGGGTTTCCACTCTCCCACCCGACCCCAGCTTTCGCTCTTACTGCTCTTCCACTCGGTGTCCAGGTCCTGCCCCTCAGGGCGGTCTCCCCAACTCCCCTCCTCTCCTCCCCAGCGACCTCCCGCTCCTCTTCTCCTGCCTGTCTGGGGGAGGGTCTCGGTCTTAGGGGAGCTGCCCTTGGATGATGGAGATCAGGGGGGTGCGGGCGTGCCTGTACCTTGAACTCACGCAACTTCTCCAGCTGCTCGGGGCTCAGCACCCCAGGGTCGGGTCCCAGCAGCCCACTCAGCAGCTCGCTGGGCAGCAACGCCATCTTGTCGCGGTTGTCAAGGCGACGGGCCGCGGGTTGCGAGGCCCCGCCCCCGAGTCCGGCCCTGCTGGGCGGGGCGAGAGGGGGCTGGGCAGGGTCCTGAGGGAGGGAGGCAGGGAGAGGGGCGCCCTGGATGGTGCTGGAGAGGGCCGGGTCTGCTTGCCAGCGAACTTGCAATGAGCTCTTCTTCCTGACCCCACACTACCCCAAACAGGCTTTGCTCTCAGCTCCAGAGCCAGACAAGGAAAAGGGTTAGCCAGAACCTGAATCCCAACTGGGTCACTTGGACGGAAGGTGGCGGAGGTCCTGGCGCTGGGGATGGAAGGAACCAGGCCTCCGCCTTCGCCCTGGCCCCCAAGTTAGCCCTTGGAACTAAGTTCTGCAGAGGAAGGGATGTGCTCACATCAAGAAGCTTGGAAGGGACTTGAGGGACATCCTGTGAGGATTCATTTTCTCTTCTCCAGCTTCCCCCTAGGCCCCTCCTACATCCTAAGTTATTTCTTCCACTCCCAATTGAATAGAGGAAGAAAAAGGCAATGGTTCTGCCAAGGATCCACTTAACAAAGCCAGAGAGCTGAAAATAGCCGACTGGGAAGGGCCTGCCCAGCTCCCGACACCCAAGGAGGCAGCGCCCAGCCCAGCCTTGCCTTCCCAGAGGCTGCAGCAAGGAACCCCCGAAGGGAGGCTGCCTTCTCAGATGTGCGAACAGCTGTCCCAAGGAGCAAGGACAGGCACATCAGGAGTGGGCTGCACGCCTCTTGCCAGGAACCCCATCTGGGCTATTTGTTTTTCAGACGAGAGAGGGAATACAGTGTGAGGGAGATAAGCTGCCATCTGTCAGAGCTGGTGTTTTTCCGGCAGAGCAGAGGTTAGCCAGGGATGACATTTCCTAGTCCCCTGCCCCAGAGGGGACTGTGGGACCCTCCAGAGGCGACCGCAAGACACCTGTGGCTCTTCATCACCTAACATGTGGCTGAGAGTGTTAGATGTGCTCCCAGTGTAAAATATTTTTTTTTAAATATGTTTTTAATTTTTATTGGAAAGTCAGATTTACAGAGAGAAGGAGAGACAGAGAGGAAGATCCTCCATCCACTGGTTCACTCCCTAAGCAGCTGCAAAGGCTGGAGCTGAGCCGATCTGAAGCCAGGATCCAGGAGCTTCCTCCAGGTCTCCTATGTGTGTATAGGATCCCAAGGCTTTGGGCCATCCTCTACTGCTTTCCCAGGCCACAAGCAGGGAGCTGGATGGGAAGTGGAGCAGATGGGACATGAACCAGTGCCCATATGGAATCCTGGCACATGTAAGGCGAGGATTTAGCTACTAAGCTACCATGCTGGGCCCAAATAAATAAATCTTTATGTTTAAAAAAAAACAGTCAGCTCCCTTGTTTCTTTTTATTTTTTGAATGTGGTTAGTAGAAATCTCGAAGTTGTAGACGTAGTTTGAGTTCTATCCCTGCTGGAAGCTGGACTGGCAAACCCCTGGACACATACACTCCTAGGCTCTCCGCTCTCGTTCCCCGTGCCCACGCAAGCATAACTGTGTCCTCCTCAGGGTCCCTTAGGGCATGATGTTCTTGTGCTTTCAGCATCCATCATGCCTTTGTGGCAGGATTGCATCCTGTGACGCAAAGGCCCACATGTGAGCGAGGCTACTTCCTTCCTTATCAGCCTGCCTCTCGGCACTCACCATCACATATCACACTGGCTGCCTTTCCCACTGGAAATAGAGGCCGCTTAAGGGCAGAAAGCTATATGACCAATCCTTTTGTTTGTTTGTTTGTTCATTTGGGGGGAGGTTGGAAAGGTATATTTAAAGAGAAAAGAGACAGAGAGAAATATCTTCCATCTGCTGGTTCGCTCCTCAAATGACTGCAACAGCTGAAACTGGGCCAGTCTGAAGCCAGGGGCCCAGAGTTAGTTATTTATTTGAAAGGCAGATGACACAGAGAAAGGAAGAGATAAAGGGAAAGAGAGAGAGACGTTCCATTGCTGTTCATTCTGCAAAAGCCCACAGCAGTAGGGCCAGAGCAGAAGCCAGAAACTCCATCCTGGTCTCCCACGTGGGTGACAGGAACCCGCACACTCGGGCGGGCTCCATGGGGGGCGTTGCAGCAGGTCGTCATCAGGCCTGGAGCCAGGCACTCCGACAGGAGAAGCAGGTGTCCCAGGTTTAACTCACCCACTGCTAGGCAGTACTGGCTTTATGTAGAGCTAGGGCCGCTCCGGAAAAACTGACCACAGAGAAGAAAGAGGCTAAGTCCAGGGAGGGTGGGCAGAGGAAGTGTCTTGCAGGAATTAGGGTAGGGAAGCCTGGTTTCTGAGCACTTGTTTCTGAAGTTTCTTCCTGGACAGAAATGGCTCAGGTTGAGCCTTTAGGCCACAGGCAGAGATTTTCTTTTCTCCTGTTTTCTTTTTTAAGATTTTTTTTTAATTTTTAAAGATTTTTTTTAAGATTTATTTTTATTATTTTTTTATTGGAAAGGCGGATATACAGAGAGGAGGACAGACAGAGAGGAAGATCTTCCGTCCAATGATTCACTCCCCAAGTGAGCACAACGGCCAATGCTATGCCGATCCGAAGCCAGGAGCCTCTTCCGGGTCTCCCACGCGGGTGCAGGGTCCCAAGGCTTTGGGCCGTCCTCAACTGCTCTCCCAGGCCACAAACAAGGAGCTAGATGGGAAATCAGACCTCCAGGATAGGAACTGGCACCCATATGGGATCCTGGCATGTGCAAGGCAAGGACCTCAGCCACTAGGCTACTACACTGGGCCCTTTTCCCCTATCTTTACCCCCTGTGTCTCCCAACCCCAAGGGCCCTAAAGAACTTCAAAGATGAGCATACAGTTATACTCAGCAAGCAGCAGTTTCTCCTCTCACACTCCCATCCCGGGACCTCAGGCCAAGACAGGGAGGCCTGAAGGCATTTTGCTGCCCACAGCTGTCTTCCCAGTCACCGACTGGGAGGAAGCGTGAAGGGAGTTCACTGTAATTCATTTTTGTGATCGTTTAATAGTTCAATTAATACAATTAGCCCCAAGCCTGAACAAGCAGCAAGCGGCAATGCTGCTGAGAAACACAGAGTAATAGAATCAGCAGAGCTGCGGGGTCTTCCCCTTTTCCTTCCTCGCATGGTCTGTTTAGCGTCTCCATAAATATCGAGATCACATTAGAAGGGAGCAAAGGGAAAGCAGGGTGGGGCCGAGGAGAGCAGAGCTAATTTGGAGAAGCATTTGCACTTCTGTCCATCCTGCCCCTTGGCTATCTCATCTCCTAATCGCAGGCTGCAGGGACTTCATACATCTCGCCCAGCCCCACCCCTGTCTCAGGGCACCCTACTGAGCAGACCCGGGCATCCCCAGGATGAAGTATAGCCAGGTATGCACACTTACACACTCACTCAAACATAGGCAGAAAGTAGCTCGAGGCCACAGAGGCCCAGGCCAAGGAGGGTGACAGTTGGTTAACAGGAGAACAGACTATGCTTGCCCCAGGGTTTCAGTGTAGGCAGAAGGGGAAAAAAGACCAGGCTTAACACAGGCTCTGGACCCGAGAGGAAGTGTTTGACATGAGTGTCTGGACAGTAAGCTAGAAGATGGGGAGTGCTGAGTCCCCCACCCCCCCTTCTTTGCCTGTCAAATAAAATGTTTAATTAAATGTGTGACTCAGGAGCCAGGCTGGCTGTCTCCAATCTCAGCCCCACCTCTTTTCCAAGGCACATTATTGAGTTTTCCTGAGCTTTTGTTTCCTCATCTGTACCATGGAGGGGACATTTAGAACCTGTGTCAAAGGGGGGTGGTGAAAGTCAGAGGTGCAGGTGTGAAGTCCTTGAAACAGCACCTGGGATGCTGCATCATCGAAGTACTATCCTCTCATCTTCAGGAGAGGGACCCGCCTGCCACGATGGCTTAGGGATTTCCACTGGGGTACATCTCAGAGACCCCAAGGCCTCACGCTGGGCTGGAGAGAGGAAGAGTGTGTGCCACAGCCGGTGAGCAGCTGAGGGAAAGCAAAGGCTGCTTCCTGAGCCCCAGCAGGTGCATCCTGCAGCCTGGAGCCTCTGTGGACTGTCCAGTGTGGGCAGGGGTCAAACTCCCTTGAGATCATGGGGTGCGTGGATCACCCCCAGATGTTGCATAGGGGAGTGATGGCCTCCCCTGGCTTCTGCTAGCTCCCTGCTCCCAGGAGAGTTCCACTCTGAGAACCCTCTGAAAGACAGCGGAAGCCAATGAGGGCGTGAATGGGGCTCTCTGCCGGGAGCTGCCCAGCTGTGGTGCTTCCCACGGAAGGATTTGGGAATCCACTAGCCTCGGGGTTCTTTACATGAAGTGTTGCTCATACCCACCAGGCATGAGCAAGACACAGTGCTAGACACTGGGAACAGTCAGATGCTAAACTCAGCCGCGCCCCGGTCTTCAAGGAGCTTCCAAGTGAGAGCGGGCCTGCCACCCTCCCACCTCCCACCTCCCCGCCCACGCTCTTGTACACACAAACCCCCCAGAGGGAGAGCTGTCAGCAAATGCCACGGAGCTGTAGTTGCTCTTGCTTCCTTTTCTGGAAAACAGTTCTTCCTGCACTCCCCTCACCCTGCCCCCCTCTCTCGGCTTTCCCTCTCCATCCCTTCTGCCCCTTCTCCCTCCATCCAGACCCCACGACCTGCTTTTCTCCACATCCATATCCTTCCTTCCCCTTCCACCTGCCCGACTCTTCTATTTTTCCCCCTGATTTCTTTTCTTGGCTCCCCACTCTTCCGAGATGTCAGGATCCCCTATCTTCCCTCCCCCACCCCCAAACCCCCAGCTCCCATCTCCTGGGTCTTCTCTTCAGCACCGGGGACAGCTCCAGCCCCCGGAACAATGGACCCCACCTTAGGGCTCCTCTATAAATTCTCCATCTTGGTGCCTTGCCCACAGCTCCAGACTGAGGAGTAAGATGGGGGAAGGGCTGTTATCAACAGGACCAGCTGCTCTTCTGGGGGCGGGCAGGCAGTCGGGGAGGAAGGAGATAGAAAGAGGGCGTGGCTCTTGCCTGAATTGTGCGTCTCTCTCCCGGGTAGAGAATTTGTATTCCACCCCTGAGACTGACATCACTGCTGTCAGGGGAAAGGAGGTGGGAGTGGGGAGGGGGGTGTGGAGGGGGGAGGTTTTTGTTGAGGAGAGCACGGCCGGAGAGCAGAGCTCCGGGACCCAGGTGACCGGGAAGGCAGGCAGCCCCAGCTGCGGCGGGAGCAGCCAGCAGCAGCCCAGGCCCGGGGACCGGGGTGGGGGTGGGAGGGGGGCTCAGGGGGAGGACCTGAAGGTGGGGGGCGGCAGGGCAGAAGGACCCCCGGAGCCCTGCCGCCATCAGAGATCAAGCCTCTGGCATCAGGGATCTTCGGACCCAGCAGAAGGATCAGCCACCAGGGGAGGTGTCTTCCCCCGGGGAAGCCAACGAGAGCTCCACCTGCCCCACGTCAGGAGTGGGCCCCCTCACTGATGCTGCTGACTGCCACACCAGGCCCCTAACCGCCTCCCCACCCCAGTCTCCTCCCTACCACCTCCTCAGGCCTGTTCCCCCACTCCCAGCGCTCCTCTGCACCCTCAGGTCTCCCACTCCTACCCGCCACCTCAAGCCCAACGCCCCAGCTGCCACCTTAGCCTTCCAGGTCCTGGCCACACTGACCCCCCTCCCTGGGACACCTGCCCAGTCTCTGGGAGGGGGATCATTTGCTTGGGTTATGCCCCCTGGTGGCATGACAGTATCTGCCTAGACCCCTGACCCCTTGGCCCTCTGCTTTTGGGCCTCCTTTGTGTGAAGAACACCCCCTCCGCTCAACAGCGTGCTTGGGGGCCACAGAACAAGCCAGCCCCAGCCAGGCACCCCCTCATCCCAGCCCTCGCCACACTCCTTGTCAGGCAGTTCCCCCCAGGCCTGCTCCCCTCGGCCCCTCCTCCTGGGCCGCCCCGATGAAGGAGCCGGATGCCATCAAGCTGTTTGTGGGGCAGATCCCGAGGCATCTGGAGGAAAAGGACCTGAAGCCCATCTTCGAACAGTTTGGCAGGATCTTCGAGCTGACTGTCATCAAGGACAAGTACACCGGGCTGCACAAGGGTGAGGGGTCGGCCCAGCAGGGCTGGGAGGCTGGGAGGCGGGGAGGAGGTGACCAAGCTGGAGGGGTGCAGGGGCTGGAAAGGAAGAAAGCAGTCAAGTTCCAGGGGGGCTTGAGAGTGTGGCTGGAAGAAAACTAGAGTGACCAACTAGGGGACCAAGGATCAACCACTGGGAACAAGGACCACAAGGGCCTCTTTGGAGTAAAGACTTATTTAAGAGCTCTACAGGGATGTGCATGCCAAAGACTGGGGAGTAGGGGGTGGGGGTGAACTTGAGAAGCCACTGAGATACTAGAGCTGGCTTGGAGGATCCAGAACCAGGCAGGTGTGTGTGCAGGGGATTTGTCCAAAAAGCCTCAAATGAGGCTGGGATGGGGGATGGGGCACAGGGTCAGGTGCTTAACCTGAAGGAGTGAGCAGACCCCAGGCTGGAGAGAGGGACCTGAGGAGCAGGGCAGGGAGGCTGGGCAGATCTGGGACATGCGCAGGACTTGGAAAGTTAAGAGACGAAGGGCACTGCTCGGGCTGTGTGGTGTCCGGCTCAGCAGGGCCAGCCCAGAGTTTGAGTGCTGGGATCCATGAGGCCTGTTCCCTCCCTCCCTCCACTGGGCCCAGGGAAGAGGCACTCCAGCTTTGCTTTCCTCAATCCACCTTCTCCACTTGCCTCCTGTGGAGTTGGGGAAAGCTGAGGGTGGAGGAGACAGTGGTGAGAAGAGGAGAGGGGTGCCGGGACCAAGATGGAGGGAGGCAGAGCAAAAGAGAAAGCATAAAGAAGAGCAGCTGGGGCAGAGGGAAGACCTCACACACTCACACATTCACTCACACAGCCCGCACACTCAGCACACCCACACTCACACATCCATACCCACATACATACCACACATTCAAGCACACATACACACCTATACACACCACACTCACATACACACCACACCTGACACACCACACTCACACTACACACTCACACATTTGCCTAGTGCTCATTTGTCCTTCCACTGTGCCTCGGCACCCCACGGAGCCCCGTTTCTGGAGATCCCCCACCCCACTCCCACCCAAGCATCCTCTCACCTTCCCTCACCACCAGCACCGAGGCCTCTGGTCTGGGGCAGGTGTCCACTCCTGCCCAGACAGACACCTGCTGGCCCCAGCATACAGACAGAGGCAGGCTTCCTGGTGCTGAGGTTCAGCAAGGAGGGAACAGCTCAAGGCAGGGAAGAGTGGGGCCTCATCCCTACCCTGTCTCTCTGCCTGTGTCCCCCCACCCCCAGGATGTGCCTTCCTGACGTACTGTGCCCGCGATTCAGCCCTGAAGGCCCAGAGTGCCCTACACGAACAGAAGACACTGCCAGGGGTGAGTCCCACGCTTCGCAGGGCCTTAGGAGCAGCACTGCTAGCCCCCCGGGGCCCCAAGGGTACTGTCCATCTTCTCTCCTCACAAGAAAGTCCCTCTGTCTTGTCTTTCCAGTATCTGTTGTTCTGGCTGTGGATGACCTGGCCAGAAGGTCTTTGCTAGAAAGAGCCAGCCAGGTCCCTTCCCCACTTCCCAGCCTGCCTAGGGGCTAACATGGAGTCTGGGGAGTGGGACAGCACTGGTGGGCTGGAGGTGTGGCAAGAAGATTCTGGATTCCGGGGGTGGGGGGGGCAGTCCAGGCAAGCAAGGGACTCCTCCTCCCCATCCCCCCCCCCACCAGGCACTCTTTTGTGGCTCTGGAGAGGCAGCCTGGTGCCTGGGAGGTGGGGGAGGGGTGCCCAGAGCCTGAGAGCAGGCAGCTGGGGCCTGCTGGACTGGCATTGCTGGAGCTGGCTTCGGAACTGCCTCAGGAGCCCCAGGCAGCAGAGCAGAGCGGGCCAGGTTAAGTGGGGCAGAGGTCTAGGTGGAGACTATGGCCTGGCGCTGCCAGGGGGTGCCTAGGGAGTGCGAGGGGGCACATCTCTGCCTGCTGCCTGTAGCTGGCCTTGCAGATTGTCCTGAATCTGGGTGGGCAACTGAGGGAGGGCATCCAGGAGTTCAAATGGTCTGCTTTCAGTGGAACTTGAGCACAACTGCTTTCTCCCAGCCTGCACACCCCGGGAGGTACTTCCTGAGTGCTAACTCCACCCCTGCCTTCAGCAAACATTTGCTCAGCATGGCTTGAGTGCTGGGCACACACCTGTCCCAGCGTCTTCTCCCCGCTTCCCCCACCCATGCAGGAAGTGGGGACCATGCCACTGGGCCCTCTCTTCCGGGGAGGGAAATGGACAACACAGAAGGGGGAAGGAGATGATTAAGAACAAACAGAACTGTTTCAGATCCCCCCAACTGGGAGCCCTTCCCAGCTCCAGGACCCAGCCCTCAGTGGCCTCACCCCTGCAGCAGGGGTAGGAAGGTAACTCCAGCCCTCTCCCCATGGCTCTTGCATCCCAGGTAGTGGCCAGCACAGCCTTGCCTCGCCGAGGGAAGGGCCCGTGCATGTGTATGAGCAGGCTCAGGATTCAGGGCAGGCGTGCGCTCGGGCATGCATGTGAGCGTCCAGCAGGCCAGATGTGTGGGGGTGTGGGTACACATATCCTTGGGAAGCCTGGGCTCCATCTGGTCCTCCTTTTTTTCTCCTCTCGAATCAACCGTTTTCATCTTCCTTGCTGTGTGTCTTTTTCTATTGCTTCCTTATCTCACTGCTGCCCCCACCCCATCCCACCATGGAAACCAAGAGGGGACTGGGGGAAAAGGATGAGGCAGAAAAAAAGGGAGACCAGAGTGGGGTCATGGAGGAGAAGGTTGGCTCGGGGTGGGTGCTAGCTGGGGCACAGGTGTTGCACCTGCCGGTGAGGCCCAGGCACAGCCCCATCTTGGGTGCAGGAAATCAGGCCTAGACTGGGAAGGGGAGAGAAGGGCACCCAGATGAATGACTGTCCAGCTCTGCGCCTGTGTGCTGGTTCTTCCTTCTGCCCCGGATTTAAGGGACAGAAGTCAGAAGGGCTTGAAAGCTTTCTGTAGAAAATGAGGGATTCCATCCTGTAAGAGGGAATCCCCATACCCTAACAGCCTAGGGAGTACAGACAGGGCAGTGGAGGGGAGCAAAGATTCATGAGGAATCCCCACCTGATTCTTTGTATCCCCAAAATGGCTTACCCCTGCCATCTGCCTTATTCTGGGTCCTGGGTGTCTGTGAACAGTTTGTCGGGAAGTTCTTCTTATTGTCTGACCTGCATACCCTCTTGGAATGAGGACATTCAGCTTTTCTGTGTGTGTGTGTGTGTGTGTGTGAGAGAGAGAGAGAGAGAGAGAGAGAGAGAGAGAGAGAGATCTTTCTTGCATGTTGAGTTTAGAAGTTCTTACCCTCCAACCTTCAGGTTCTGTTTCAATGGGTGTGCTCAGCCTCTCCTTGCTCCCCAGCTCTTGTCACCCCAGAATCTAGAAGGTACCATCCAGTGAGGGTGACATGTTGGGCTGTAGAGAATGGAGAGGCTGAACCTGTGGCTGGTGAGTCTCGTCTCCTCACCTCTGAGAGCTCCCTGGAGGAGTAGCTCTGTCCCAGTTCCCTGGATTTGTCCTGTGAGCAATGTCTGGCCTCCTGGAGGCTGTGGAGCAGTGGGGACACCCGACTGGCCACCACTTCCTGCATCAGTGTGGGCCAGAGCCCCCACATGGGCCTGTCCCTGTCAGCCTGCAGCAGGCAGAGGTGGCGAGGACCCTGCTCTGAGTGTGAAGCCCAGAGCAGCTGGGCCACAAGCCCCCTAGGGGATGAGACTGTGTAGATAGGAGAAGCCTTCTTGCAAGTGAGGGCTGTAGTGTTGGGGAGACAGTTGGGGGCACAGCGATGCCTGGTAGGGCCAAAATATCCCCTGATTCTTGCGGGAGGCCCTGGGACGGTGCCAGGAAGGCAAAGAGGAGGAGGAGCCTGCAGGTTGCCAGGTAAACAGGGCACGGCCGGACTCAAGGGAGGGGGCAGGTGTGCCTGAGCAGGCAGCACTAACAAAGCTGAGCTTTGCACAGGAAGTGGCAGGCCAGGAAGAAGGCTGGGAATGTGGTGTGGGTGCTACTGGGTGTGCGCCTGGGCACCCGGGCATGTCTCTGTGCAGGACCCCCACCAGCTGGGTGTGTGTGGATGGCGGGGGGGTTGGGGGTGCTATTGACAGGCTATTTTTGTACCTGGAAGCTGTGCTGGGAGGGACTAGCATCCCTTTCTCCCTGAGCCCCAGGTTCCCCAGCTGGGATGAGAACAGCAGAGCCCCGGGGGCCCGTGGAACGGGTCAGTGACCCTGGTTTGGATTCTGCCTCTGTCTGTATGTGTATATGTGTGTGTATGGGGGGGGGTGGGCAGCGGGGGAAGGGGGTACAGGCAGTGGGGGAGAGGGAGCTGGCAGCTGGGATGCCTGTGAGGGAATTTCCTGCTCACTGCAGCCTGAGAGCAGGACCACAGACCCTGAGCAGCTGATTTGGGGCCTTGGTCCCACACGCACACACATCCCTAAAGGAGATTGGACCTTGGATGGGATAATCTCGGATTGCTGGGAGATAAAGTAGGGGGGAAGGGTGGCCAGAGGATTTGTGTGCCCGTGACCCTCCCCACCAGCTGCTCTGGATGGGTGGGTGGGAGCTGCGAGGAGGGCGGGGCTCAGGGAGGAGCATCCTTGGGGACGGGGCTTCCATTGGATCCCGGTGTGACACCTGAGAGGTGGGACAAGGCAGGGGCAGCTGTTATTTCACGCGTGCGTGTTCCGGGAGGCCACATGAGGTATCCAGATGCCAAGACACCAGAGCCGAAGGACTGGTGAAGAACCTGAGAGGGCTGCCTCCTTGTTCGGAGAGGCGTTGGGAGCCAGAGAGAAGAAGCGGCTTGTCGGTCACCCCTTTGTGAGCACTAAGGTTACCCCTCCAACCAGGTCTGCCTTCCTCAAGGATTCCTCCAGCCCCGCTGTCTGCACAATGGTTTCTCTGATTTGAATGTTTCGGGGGCATCGATGGCATCAGTACTGCTCCACCATCAGCAATCAAAATCCTGGTTACTCACAGCAAAAAATGTTCAGACGCTAGCTTCTATCTCCTTGTCCTCCCTCTCGGTGCCTATGGGGCTCTACGCCCTGGCCAAGGCAATGAAACTGTGGGCAGCATTTCCAAGTCCTCTCACCAGGCAAGAGCACCCAAAGTGGGACTAGGAATTCCAGCCTTGTGCCACGCTGACAGCTGAACAAAAGCAGGGCTGGGAGAGGCCAGGGCTCCTGGGGGCACTGCTGTGCCCAGGGCACATGGCTCGGCCTTTACTCCCTCCAGACAACCAGGACTGGCTCTGCCGGAGGAGGAGGCAGGTGGGAGAAGGGCAAGTGTGGGCTCTGCACGGCCTGCTCTGTGCGCCTGTCTCCAGAATCAGGAAGCTGGCCCTAGCCCCTCCCCCACCTCCCAGGTTCCACCAACTCCTCCACCCCCTAGCATACCCTATACCCTGTTCTTACCACCCCCCAACTCCTTCCCTGTGTGTGTGCGTGTGTGTGTGTGTGTGTGTGTGTGTGTGTGTGTAGCAGCAGCAGAAGTGATGACGTCACCACGGTCGCCAGGGCGACGGGGACGGATAAATCAGGCTGAGTGGGCGGTTGCCATGGTGCGCATTCTCCCGTTGCTACGGAGACTGGGCATCTGCTCCCTTTGTGCTGCCCGAGTGCCTTCCCCCTGGGGTCAAGGGGTGTAGGGGGGCAGAAGGAGAGGCAGACACACCTCCAGGGGTCAGAAGGAAGTCTGGGCCTCTGGTTGTGGGGGGGTCTCCTTGGGTCCCTTCTCTTGGGACTTCATGGGGTAGCCTCTCTGGTTCCCTCCTTGAGAGAGAGCTGAGACAGCTTTCAGAAAGGAGCCCCTAGTTTGGACTCTGCTCCACAATCAGGCTCCTTTCCCTCACGAGAGTTGCAACTGCCCTGGGCCCTGTTGTGGTGGGAGGAGGCCAGCCTCTGTCCTGGGGCATCTTCTCACCTGCCAGACCCTGGCCCTCCCCTGCAGGCCGCAAAGACCCAGGGTCTGAGTGGGGGGCTGCCTCAGAGGGGTTGCCCAGCAGCTGTCTTCCCTTCTTTCCTGTAGATGAACAGGCCCATCCAGGTCAAGCCGGCCGACAGCGAGAGTCGAGGAGGTAGGTTGTGTCCCTTTGAACTTGGTCCTATTCCTCCCACTCCTAGGCCTAGGACTTAGCACAGCTTTTCTTAAGGGGGAAAACAAAAATCTTTAAAGAGAACAGGTAGGAGACGGGGTGTCTGGAGGAGGTGAGATCCAGCCCATTATAGGGATGGCTTATACTGAGGCCCAAAAAGATCTGTTGAAGCCCTCTAGCCCTGGGTTGAGCACTCAAGACATCTGTACCCCTTGGGCCTCAGAGTCAGGGGAGGGAGAGACAAGTGTCCGGAGCTCCAGGGCAGGCGTGGGGAAGGGGCTGGCAAAGCCCCTGAGCACGCCCCCTTCCTGTGCCTATCCCCTCTCCCCCGCCCTGCCCCCCAGAAGACCGGAAGCTCTTTGTGGGGATGCTAGGGAAGCAGCAGACAGATGAGGATGTCCGCAAGATGTTCGAGCCTTTCGGGACCATAGACGAGTGCACCGTCCTCCGTGGGCCCGACGGTACCAGCAAAGGTAGCCCCGCCCCCTCCCCACTGAGCCCCCATGGGCTGTGTTCTCTAGGCACCCACCCTTTCCCTCCTCTACCTCACCAGGCTGCGCCTTCGTCAAATTCCAGACCCATGCTGAGGCCCAGGCAGCCATCAACACCCTTCACAGCAGCCGGACCCTGCCGGTGAGTCCTGGCTGCCTAGCACTGCCATCTGCCCTTGCTGCTCACAGAAGAGCCGTCCTTGGGGCAGGGGAGAGGACCTAGGACTTTGTGCAAAAGGAATGCTCTGGCAGGAGAGCCCCATCAGCACCAGGGGACCCTCTGGTATTTCTGCCTCTGATGGTCCACTTGCATCTTCACTCTGTTCCCTTTCTCTCCTCTCTGGTCCCCTCCATTCCTCAACACTCCCATCTCTCTCTCTCTTCCTCCATCTCTCTCTCTTTCTCTGCCACCTTCCCACACACTGCCCAACCCCCCTCCTCCGCCTCATTTGCTAAAGTACCAGGACACTCCTTAGAGATCCTGTGTACCCCCAGGCCTCTCAATGGCACTGGCTCCAGGGAGAGCACTAGACAGGGACTCAGGAGGATGTGGTCTTAATGAAATAATTGGGAAACCCCAGTCTGGCTCTGGAATTCCAGGGCTCTGGGACAATGCACTTGGGCTGTAGTTTGCAGTTCACAGTTGTGGTTTCCTAGCCCCAAGCTTAATCTCACCAGAACCTGGACTGTGGGGGCAGGTGTAGCATCCTAAGAGAGCACAGGCACCGCCTGTGGCTCTCAGCGCTGAGGCCTCACCCCTGCAGACCAGCTCCTGGTTTCCCAGACCCCTGGTGCCTGTACACTGAGCAAACATAACAGGTACAGTCAGAGGCTAGGTGCTCCCTGGATGCCCAAGTCCTGGGGCGGTGGGTGCTGAGACCAGTCCTGAGGGCTCTGATGTGTCCCTCTGACCTGCACATGGGGCCCCCGGGATCCAGGGTGCCTCCTCTAGCCTGGTGGTGAAGTTCGCCGACACGGAGAAGGAACGTGGTCTCCGCCGGATGCAGCAGGTGGCCACCCAGCTGGGCATGTTTAGCCCCATCGCCCTCCAGTTCGGAGCCTACAGCGCCTACACCCAGGCCGTGAGCACTGATCCTTGAGGGGGCAGGGGCTGGGGCCTGGCTCATCCACCTGCTAGCCCACCCTTCTCCCCAGCCCCCAGTGTCCTGCTCCCATCCTGTAATGCTGAGGGCCCAGGTGGTTGTGGGTATGTGCCTGGCCCCATTTGGCTGTCCCCCTACCCGGCAGCTGATGCAGCAGCAGGCGGCCCTGGTAGCAGCTCACAGTGCCTACCTCAGCCCCATGGCCACCATGGCTGCCGTACAGATGCAGCACATGGCTGCCATCAATGCCAATGGACTCATTGCCACCCCCATCACCCCGTCCTCAGGTAAGACCTAGGCACAGTGGGGCTGGGCATGGCCAGGGCAAGGCCGGGAGGTGGGTGGAGTGGATGGAGGTGGGAAGAGAAGCTGGGGAGGTCCAGGGGCAATGAGGGGAGGCAACAGGGATGGGGTCAGAAAACAGCCTGCTTTCCGCACCTGCTCTTGGTCTCGCTGACTCGTTCTCTGCATCTCTCTGTGTGTGTGTCTGCTTCTCTCCTCTGTCTCTGTCGCTCTCTCCCAGGAACCAGCACCCCTCCTGCCATCGCTGCCACGCCCGTTTCTGCCATCCCTGCTGCCCTGGGCGTCAACGGCTACAGCCCGGTGCCCACCCAGCCCGCTGGGCAGCCTGCCCCTGATGCTTTGTATCCCAACGGGGTTCACCCCTACCCAGGTGGGGCACCCTGTCTGCCAGTCTTGCCGCACCTCCCCTTGCCAGCCTGCTCTGGGGTTACAGGCTGCTTCCCCCTTGCTTCTGGGCAGGGCCAGCTGAGGCTTAAAGGGCCAGCCGCCCAGCAGACCCAGGTCTTCCAAATGCTGGGCGCTCTCCTTCCCCATGCTTTGTGCATTCTGCCTTCAAACTCCATGCCCAGATGAGGTCCCTGTGCCACCCACCAGCCTCTGCTCCAAGAGGTGCTGCAGTGGGAGGTGGGTGGTTCCCCCCATGTCCCAGGCCCACTCTCACTGTCCGTGCTGCTCTCTACAGCCCAGAGCCCCGCAGCACCCGTGGACCCCCTGCAGCAGGCCTATGCGGGGATGCAGCACTACACAGGTGAGGACCTGCATGGGGTTGGGGGTCAGGACTGGGGCATCTCCTTGCCTGGCTGGCGGCTCTCGGCCCTGTGGAGGCTGTTGGCTAGGCAGGAGAAAGGGAGACAGGGTTGGCTCGGTGAGTCAGGGAAGCATCACCTGTTCTCTCTGCTCTCCCCACGCCAGCAGCCTACCCAGCAGCCTACAGCCTGGTTGCACCTGCGTTCCCGCAGCCTCCAGCCCTGGTTGCCCAGCAGCCCCCACCACCTCCTCAGCAACAACAGCAGCAGCAGCAGCAACAGCAGCAAAGAGAAGGTGCCAGCCGGGGCCAGGCTCTGCTAACCGGGAGCTTTCCAGGATGGGCAGGCATTTGTGTGTGGACTTGGGCATTCCCTCTTGCCTTGTGCCAAGGCCAGCTCTTGCTCCAAGTGTTGGGGTGGAAGCCGGTGGCAAGGAAGCCCAGGCGCACTGGCCCGCAGGGCTGGGGACTGGGATGGGCAGCTCTTTCGGGCACCTGCTTTCTCTGGTGCCTTGACTCCTGACTGTGTTTCCAAATCCCTGAACTCTTCCTTGGGTCTCTGCCGCCACCCAGGCCCTGATGGCTGCAACATCTTCATCTACCACCTGCCCCAGGAGTTCACCGACTCTGAGATCCTCCAGATGTTTGTACCCTTTGGCCATGTCATCTCAGCCAAAGTCTTTGTGGATCGGGCCACCAATCAGAGCAAGTGTTTTGGTAAGACAACCCTGATCCAAGACACAAACTGTGGCACGTTTTCTCTTTTGTTTTTGGTCAAACTCCAGATTATGCCAAAGTTTGATACATTTGGAGGCATTTTTATGGTTGTAGTGAGTCCAATGTTTGGCCAAGAGTCTATGAAAGAGCCTCTGTTTTTTCCCTCTCCATGTTCATTTTATTTGAAGATGAGAGCGAGCGAGAGAGAATCTCTTATCTACTGGTTTACTCTCCATATGCTGCAACACTTGCAGCTGGGCTAAGCCAAAGCCAGTAGGCTAGAATTGCAGCTGTATCTTCCATGTGAATGGAAGGAACCTAAATGCCTGAGCTGGCACCTGCTGCCTCTTAGGAAGCTGGATTGGAAGCCAAACTGGGACTCAGGCCCAGATATTCCAGTATGGAGTGTAGGCATGCCCAGGGGCAACTTCTCAACTATAGAGCCAAATGAATGCTCCAGAAGATTCTATATATTTTTTAAAGGATTTATTTATTTGCAAGGCAGAGTTACAGAAAGAAAGGGAGAGACACAGAGATCTTTTATCTGCAGGTTCCCTTCCTAAATCACCACAACAGCACTACAGCTGGGGCTGGGTCAGACTGAAACAGAATACAGGAGCTGCCTCTAGGTCTCCCACGCAGGTGCAGGGTCCCAAGGACTTGAGCCATCCTCCATTGCTTTCCCAGGCCACAAGTAGGGAGCTGGATGAGAAGTGGAACAACCAGGACACGAACCAGTGCCCATATGGGATGCCAGTTCTATAGGTGGTGGCTTTACCCATTATCCACAGTGCTGGATCCCAGAAGAACCATTTTTTAAAAAGACTTAAGTATTTGAATGTCAGGGGGGAGGGTTGTCTTTCATCACCTGTTTAACTTTCCAAATGGTCACAAAAGCCAAGTGTGGGCCAGGCTGAAGCCAGGAACTAGGAACGCCATCTTGCTGCGCTGTAGTGCTGCCCTAGAAAGAACTGTCTGCGATACACTGAACAACCAGGCTCAGCTCTTCATCCAGGAAATCTTGGCTTCCTCTCTTCTCCTTAGCAGCTGGCCAGACCCACGCTCTCCGGTCTCTGAACTGGGCTTGAGGTCTGAGGCTGTTTGCTTTTAAAAAGCAAGACTTGAAGAGTAGGCTTTCCCTGCTCCTCCATGATGGCCTGTAGGGTCCTCCCAGCCTTAGGAGCCTTTGGAGGTCCCAGAAGTGGTGGCTGTTCACAGGCTGGTTCCCCGTACTCAGGGTACTGCAGGAAACAATGGTAGGAGTGTTCTAGTTTGTGGGGGCCTGTCTGGGTGTACCCAGTCAATGCTCCTACTGGTTGCAGGCAGCTCTCTGAGCACCTCAAAGAGAGGGAGGCAAGGCCCAGGGGAGGGAGAAGGCCATTCGGGCCAGACCTTACAGCCCCTCTCGCTTCAGGCTTCGTGAGCTTTGACAATCCAGCCAGTGCCCAGGCCGCCATCCAGGCCATGAACGGCTTCCAGATTGGCATGAAGCGCCTCAAAGTCCAGCTGAAGCGGCCCAAGGATGCCAACCGGCCCTACTGAGGGCCCCAGGTGGGTCCTGCTCCTGTCTGCGTGCTCTCTTTGCAGTCCCTCTTCCCCCTGTACACACCAGTCAGGGCCTTCCCCGCATCACCCTGCCACACACACACACACACACACACACACACACACACACACACACACACACACACACACACACCCCTTATGACCCAAGCAGACAGCCAAGTCTGCCTGTGTCCTGTCTCCAGCACGGATCTTTCACCACATGTGGTCTTTTGTGTCTGGTCAACATCCATCTGTCTGTGTGTTTCTCTCTTCCTGGCTTTCCTTGGGGATGGATTGGAATTAGGGGAGCATGATTTAGGGAGCAAGGGGGCTGGTTCCAGGTACTAGAGGGCCGAGGGAATCTCTGGGTCTTGGCTTCCCTGTGGCCTTAAGTGGGAGGGGTTTTTGCTCAGGCAGCAAGTAGCCCAGGGGGTGGAAGAGAGCCCACAGGCCCAGCTTGGGGAGCCCTGGCTCTGAACCCCTGGGGCATTGCTGGTTTAGGAGGAAGAAGAGGAGGAGGAGGAGGAGAAGGAGGCACAGCCCTGCCTGTGACTTCCTCTGGCCCAGTCCCTTCCACCCCATTGCCAGCTGCCACTCCCAGGCCCACAGCCACCAAACCCTGCACCATGCTTACTCAATCTCCTTTGGATCATCCCTCCCACCCTTGAAGAAACGTAACCCGAGAACAATACCCACGGTTTTCTGTTTCTCCCCTTTCCACCCCAATCCTGGCTGCTTAACCCCCCCAACCCTGGGGGTGCCCCCCAGCCCAGGGCCCGTTCCATTGTCGGCTGAAGCCCCCATCCCCGGACCCCTGCTGCGGGCCCCTGTAAGTTGCATGGGAACGAGCGTGTTGTCTTTGGAGCCAAGTGTTTGTTATTTGGGGAGGGGGCCGTGGAGGGAAGCGCCCCCCCAGCCCAGGGTCAGGGCCGGGGGCAGCTCGCGGGATGTGCTTGGTCAACAGTGGTTGGTGACTGTGGTCTGTGTTCTGTACATCTCTCTGTGTGTCTCTTTTTCTCTTCCTTTGGAGTAAGAGCGCTGTCTGGGAGCTGGGGCCTCTTCACCCCTGAGTCTCCACCCTCGGCCCCACCCCGGGCCTTCTCGGCGGTTGCTCTCTCCTCATCCTTCTGCAGGTGTTTCTCCCCACCTTGCGCGCGCCTCCTGCCTCTTCCTCTGCCTGCCTGTGGTCTCAGTTCTTTGCCTCTATCTTTGTAGCTTTTCTCTGCCAGCTGTTTAAGTGTCCCCCACCCACACCCCCATGTCCTGTGGTTTCTGGAGCCGTCTGCCCATCTCCTCCAGCCCCGGCCTTCACTCTCCCGGCTGGGGTGGGAGGGGCCGCTGGTCGGTTCCTCAGGCAGCCGCCGCCTCCCCGCTGGCTTCTTCGGGCTTCACTCATGTCTCCTTCTTTCACAGGTCCTGGGATGCCAGAGGAAGGGGCACCTCCTATCCTCTTCCCACATCTGCCCTGGGCCTTGACGGGGCCCCCCTCTTCAAGGGGCACAGGAGGCCAGCCGGCCGGCCGGTCCTACTAACCCAGCCTCTGCTGGGACTGTGGCTGCCATCCCTAGCTCCAGGGACTTGTTTCCTGCCTCAACCCCGGTGCCCTCATGGCCTTTGCGAGGGAGCAAGGAATAGGCTAGAAGGTTCCAGGCTGCCTGCCTTCTACTAGGGCTTAGTGGGCCCGGTGGGGACTGCCTCCCTGCCAGCAGGCCTGGGCTGGCTGTGCAGGAAATGGGGGGGGGGGTGTCTCACAGACTCACTGGCCCACCCCTTTGTCCCCCAGCTTCTCTCCTGAACTAGGGGTTTCTCAGAAGCTGCCTCTCCACCCTTCCCCCCTCAGCTAGAGGTAGGATATCCCTGAATGCTGGGCTCCCAGCCCTAAAACGTACTGCCTCCCCCAAGGGCCCCCCTACGGAGGGTGTGTGTGGGGGGCCGAGGGCTGTCTCTCTGCCAGTTAACCACAGAGACCCTCCTCCTTTGATGAGGAAAAGACCTCCCCCTAGACCCCTAAAAATGTTTACAGTCTCTGCTGGTCCCCTCCGTGTACATAACGTTGCCGCCGCGCCCCGAGCCCGGGCCCACCAACACTGCCCACACTCCCTCCTCTTCTCTTTCTCTGTCTGACTGAGAGTTGAGACCATGTTGCCCTTGGAGTTTTTTTCTCACTCTCATGATTTCTCCCTTTGCTTTGGGGGGTACTTGGGTATTGGGGAGAGGGGTGTGGGAGGGACAAAGGGGTTTATTACCTGATCATTTTCTTTAGGAAGAGGTTTTAAGGGAAAAGAGAAAAAAGTGGGGTGGGGGGTGGGAGTGGTGAGGGGAGACTGGGGAGTCAGTTTCAGACGATTCTCTATGCTTAACTTATTTATTTATTGCATTTTACTTTGAAAGAGTTGGTCTTTTCTGTCTAAATAAAGAAAAACTTTAAAAGCATCAAGTCAGAGTCTTGGAAGGTGGAGATGGAGGGAGGGACAAGAGTGAGTTTGGGGGAAGAAAATGTTACCAAGGAAGACCTAGCTCTTGCTGTCCGTTTTTTAAATCTATCCATCCATCCATCATGTATCTACTTCTCTACTCTCTGTCTCCCTGCTGTCTCTCTCAAAGGCAAAGACACAGAGATCTTCCACTCGCTGGTCCACTCTCCAGATGCCTGTATGAGGTCTGTGCCAGGTCAAAACAAGAATCCTGGAGGTCAACTCTGGTCTCCAAAGGGCAGGGACCCCTGTTCTTGAGGCAGCATCCACTGGCTCCCAGGATGTGTGTTAACAGGCAGCTGTGGTCACAAGCCCAGCTAGGCCTCAATCCCAGCAACTCCAGTATGGATGTGGACTCCCCATGTAACATCTTAATGGAGGTCCCAGACACCCCCAGCCCCTGCTTTTGAGCAGCATCTAGGTCTTAGCTTGCTTCCCACATCATGATCCCATTTTTTTTACTTTTCTTTGGGGTTTTGTTCTGGAATGTTCTGCAGAAGTGGGCACAGCTGGAGGAGTGGCAGCCGAGAGAACTTGTAGTCCCACGTGTCAGACCAACATTCCTGTGGCTAGGCCAATGAGCTGGTGCTGGGCTTAACTGCCACTTAGTAACCGCTTCGTTCAGCCCCTCAGGTGTGGCTCCTCATTTATCTTCACAATAGCACTCTAAGGCGCGATACAATTTTACAGATACCCCCAGCTGCTGCAGCCGAGGCTGCTTTGTATCTGGGCAAGTTGCATACTGCTGGGGGAAAAGCATCCAATTGCTGGCAGGCCTAGCTCATGCCAACTCTGTTAACTGCACTTGTGTACCAGCATAATTGCATATTCTTTAAATCTGCAAAGGCAGGGTAGGGGAGTGGACAGCCACCATCTGCTTGTCGGGATCTATAGGCTGGGATGGAGCCCGCTGGGGGCTTTTGATGTAGACAGGGTTGAAAAACCCTGGGAATTCACTAGGCCAGGCCACTGTGTCCAAAGGTCGGAGCAAGGGCTGTTGCTGGGAGTGAGCTGGGCACAGGGCTTGAAGGGCCAGCATGCCAGGGCTCCCCGGGCAAGGCCACAACATCCACTGTGGCTGGGAGACCTACCAAAGACTTTTGGCATCAGCAAGCAGCCCACCTTTTCTTCTCAGACACATCAGGACTTCCAGCCTCAGGGGACCAGAACCCATGGATGTACGGTCTGGCCTTGGCACACATGTTTGTATGATTGACCACTTATGTTAACTCCTGTGCCAAGGGGCCACTAACATCAGAGTAATGATGAAGGCGTGGGGAACATAGCCATTGGCACTGAGTGGAAATTCTCTGCCTTGTGAAAAGGATCCATTATATTAGCTAGGAGAGTTCCAAACCCAGGATGGGCAAGCTCTATGGCCCTTAATCACAGGAAGTAACTACTGAAGATGTGATGAATCTGCACCTTTTAGCAATTTGTAGATTGAGTCAAATATCTGAAGAGGGGATGAAATGGGACTGGTAGGTAGCTAGTCATGAGCTGAAAGCCACACTTCCTCTGCTCTTTGCAAATCCCACCCACCCTTCCCGCAGGGTGTACTTCCCCTTACCCGAGATTTGTGGATGATATCAAGAAACCGTTTTCCTTCCCAAGATCCTGTGAAGAAGACTGGCAACGCGGAGGGACAAAGTCTCTTCCCACAGGATGGAAGGCAGAAACTCGTCTCCCTATCTCACTCTCCCCGCTGTCCCACTCTCCCCTCTTGGTCCTCTCCACCGTGGGCATGCCCTGTGTGTGTGCGCGCACACATGTGTGATTTTACCTTTTAATCAACTTCAAAGACATTTAAAAAAATGTATAGAGAGGGAAGGTCAATCAACTTACCCGGAATCAAAAAAACTGGTCAAGGAGGCTGGAGGTGTTGGATCCAGTGTGCTGGACTCCAAAGTCAACAGGGCTGTCCGAGGCACTCACCTGGTCTGGCAAAGACTGCCAGTGGCAGCATCAGGCTACCTAGTTGATGGCCCCTGCAGGTAGCAGATGGACTGTGTGAGTCCTAAGGTGCCTGCAGTTCTCAGTCTTCTGTGAACAGTTTTCAGGCTAGGCTCAGGAGGCTCACCCAGGTGGAATCTTGGACTCCACAGTACACGGGTTCCCTGCTTCCAGGCAAGCTACCTGCAATGACACCCTCACTCTGCTTGCAAGCTGGCCCACCTTCCCAGCTCCGATCTCGCCTTGCCTCACCTCCACTTCCACTTCTCTGCCCCTTCCCCCACTTCTGCCCTTTCGTAGTCCACTTCAGTCTCAGGAGAATCAAAAAGAGGAGTGCAGAGTGAAGGACTTCGGAGGCACATCTGTGGATGTTGCTCCCAGGGAAAATGCTGGCAGAGACCATGAGTAGCACCTTGCTCATCAGGGTCAGGATTGAAGATTTATTGAATTTTTATGTGAAAGGTGAAGTTACAGAGACCAAGAGGGACAGAAAGAGTTTCTTACATCTGCTGGTTCTCTCCCCAAATGGCCACTATGGTCAGAGATGATCTGATCTGAAGCCAGGACTCCAAAATCCACAG